ATTAAATTGGTTTAACCTAAAAAAAAAAAATGCTTGGAACATAGTAGATGTTCACTAAATATTAGTTCTCCCATGAGGGTAAGAACCATCCCTTCTTTCATAATCCTCTTCCCAACACTAAAAGCATAGCTCTTTAATACAGTAGAAACAATACAATTCCAATGACTGAATTCTGGTTCACTACTTTGGTTTTGTTTGACACGGACTTCCTCTCAACCACCAAAGAGTTAATGATCATATTTTGAGATGTTAACAGTAACTATCCAAATAATTTGCAGAACACACCAATAAACAGGTCTATTGATGGACTAGTATAACAAGAGTAAGAGAAACAACTCTGTATAATGACGAAGGTCATTGGGCATTATTATAAGGTAAAGAGCTCTTGCCAATTATTTACTGTGCTTTAATGATCTTATTAGACATTACTGTAATGTGCAGAAGAGATACAATGGCAAGTAGTAACACAAATATGGATCATAAGACATAATCAATTCGAATATAAACAGACAGAGCAGTGGTTCTTAGCTGGGGGTGATTCCCCCGCCCTTGGGGACTTCTGGCAATGTCTGGTGACAAACATTTTTGATTGTCACAACTATAGAAAGAGTGCTTTTTCGTTTAGTGAGTAGAAGCCAGGAATACTTTCAAACAGCCCACAATACACATGACAGCTCCCACAACAAAGAATTGTGTGATCCAAAATGTCAATAGGCCAAGTTTGAGAAACCCTGGAATAGAATGTAGAAAATCATATTTGTGCAGTTTTCATACAGCAGCATTGTTGGAAAGGGCTCAATGGTTACCTTGAATGACTAACAGATCAGGCTAAGTTTACCTGGGAGACTATCAGAACTTACAATGCAAGTTGCCACTGAGGGTCCAAATAGAATGTTAAGGGCTCAATCCTGTCATTTTTGGCAAAGTGCAAACGCTTGGGTAAGAACTGTTTCAGGTAAGGTTTGAAGTGCTGGTTTGGCTCCCGGCACTGAAATTGCAGAAGGTAAAGAGAAAACATTTCCATAGCTTCTTAAGTGTAAATTTCTCTTGAAATTGCTTTCTAACTCCGTATAAATTTTTTCTCACAAACATTTTACCAGCAAGCCCAATAAGTCACATGTGGAAAAATAACTGAATTCTTACTATTTGTGTAATACACAGGTTGAGTATTCTCAGCTAATAAATATTCTTATTTTTACAGAAAATCATAGTCACTGCATAGAAGTCCCAGGGTGCTGAGACTATTATATCTGAGTTACTACTAGGTTATATCTGAGTTACTACTAATGATCCTATTTTCAAGCACTTTTGTAATTATAACTGCAAGAATTTTCTCCAAAATTGAAGGAAGGTTCTATCAAGTAAAACAAAACAAAATAAAACTGTAGTATAGATAACTCAGCACTAGGATAAAAATTTATTTAAAAAAAATAGTATTAAAAAGGCTGGTAGAAAATATATCATAATGACAACAGCATTTATGGTGGTACAGGTATAGGTGTTTTCTATTGTTTTCAATTACATATTTCTTGTACTGTCATATAAATTTAACAATGTCAATTAGTAAATTCTTAAAAACATTCAAACCTACATATTAAAACTATAGAGACTTTAAATGTTGGCCCAGATATTAAAAAATCCTAATCCTACCATCACAAGAATAAATACTTAAACTTTTTTTCTAAGTATTGTACATATTACACCAAACTAACAATAATTGGATAATAGAAAAATAGATACTCACAGAAAGATTCCTGGCAATGCCTTCATAATTAACTGAACGGGGACAAAGACAAGAATTAATTCTTGATGGTATGTTACAATTAGAAATTAAAAAAAATACATCCAGCCCCATAAAATCCCTTTGGGTGCAGAAGATCTGCATTAAAGATCCTTAATCATGAAAAGGAAGTTAACTTTAATTGACTCCCTTTAGATTGGAGATATAATGATTCAGAGGAATGTATTGAAAACATAATCATATTCAAAGTTAGCAGAGATATACTTACATGAATAGTATTTATCTGGGACATCAATTGGCCTCAGTCGAGCTGCAGGTCCATATACAACTTTAATATTTTTAACATCCCCCAGATATTTATTCAGATATACGTATTTCTTACAACTGCCTTGTTCCATGCCTAGGCGAAAAAAATTCCCAAATATGTTGCAACTTTAATAAAAAATTTAATACGTAAAGCAAAGTTTCTTTCACTTCCTGAATTTAATTCAATTCAATAAACGTGCTCTGTGTTCATGTTAGTTAAATAGCTAATAGGTAAGACAGACTTTCAGCCACACCTACCATTTCACTTTTTAAGAAGTCTTTTCCCTTTTCCTTTATCCAAAATTATTTTAATGTTTCTTTTTATTTATATATTACATTATGTGAGCAAAGAGGAATATCACAGTTTTAGACTGAATATGAAAGCCCAGTATGTCCCCAAAATCACCTAGGGTATCAACTGGGAGTATAAAACTCTCAGTTACATTCTAGGACTGGACCTTCTTTAGGACTTTTTAGTACTGTTTCTAGAAATAGCTTTCTGTAATTATTTGAGGCAAACAACAAGAAAAAACAAACAATAAAAAGAATGTGTTTCCTATTTTCTTGTATACACACAACTTCTATAGTCCCAAGGTTATGTAGAAACATGTGTCATAAAGATCACAGTAAGTAAAACTGAAATTAAAATATTGCCAAAATTAATATATACTGCCTCCAAAGTCAGATTTATCATGCTAAAGAAAGGAGAAATAGTTCATAATAATCTGTTCTAATTAAATCTAAAATTGTCAGAGTAAATTTACCAAAATTTAACATTGAAAAAAATTTGGAAAAAAATCCAAATATCTGGTGTAAGTCTTCCCCAAATCAGGAGATGGTTGCATTTTGATTAATAGGCTCTAACATTTCTGTGAATTCTGTGTTACATTTGTACTTTATATTTATTATAATATTTTCCTACAGATTTTCCACAAGAAACTATGTTTTGAAAACAGAATTAACTATAACAATCAGAGGAATAATGAAACAATCATCAATCAATTAAATGGGGGTAGGGAGAGCACCAATTTTTTTGAAGGGTAAATGATGCAAACTCAGACTACCATGATCTGAAATGAGGATGAGGTTCAGGCATCGATGCAAGTTCAGCTCTTTTAGGCCATCCATCAGCATGCCAACCATGTTGTCAACCCTCTGCAACGCTCTGATGACCTGAGAAAGAGAAGCAATCTTACGTGATGCATCCCACACTAAGGGCTATTTCTACATAAAGCTATCTCTGTTAAAAAAAGAAAAAGTTCAGTGGATGCAAATACTATGGTAAACTAATTCATATGAGCCTAAGACAAGTTAGGTCACACAGGAAGGGCACAAAGTAAGTTCTGACCATTAACAGTGGAAGGGCCACACATGCTGAATCTTAAGTCTTAGAAATGGTGAAATGGTATTGGTTGAGCTGATTAGCACTCCCTCTCTGAGTTGAGATGCTATTCCTAAGACCAAACCCAACTTATGTCAAAGTACTACCAACCCAAATTCATACTTTTGGCCAGAAATAAATGTAGTCTCAAGTATCACTTCATTTTCTATAACCCATTTCTCCTTGTACTTTCTGATCATTTCAATGTTTACTGTGGAAATGCAATGTTTCCTAATTTTCAAAAATGTTAGACTTATTCATGAAATAGCTTCTTATAGTTCTATATACTTAATTTTTAAAAATAGAACTCCTAGGAATACAATGCATTATTTCCTTATAAACTTCATATATTTTGAATACGAATACAACAAGGACACAGAAGGGCAAATAGTTTTGGCAAATTGCTTTTAACATTTCTTTTCCTCTCTCCGTACAAAACCATCTGAGGAAAACTCTTGTGCAGTTTTGCGTCTGTTTTCTGTAACATATCACATCAGTCTAATCTTTGTTTATTGTCAGTGTATTTCACAGTAATATGAAACAAGCTCTTTCCATATGGTCTTGCATTCACTTCAAGATACCTACGCAATGTGAATCAGAATTTTCAAGTATTAAGAGAAAATGTGCTTTGATGTGCCAATAATATTAGAGTTTAACAGAGTTTACCAGTTGGTAAATAGGATTCAAAAGCAATGGGCTCAACTTTGAATGAAGATGAATCAGAAAAGCAGGTACTTTGCAAACTCTTCAGTGAATTAGAAAAGGCAGCACTGATTTTAAAACTTATATGATCTGATAATCAGTCAATGACAAAATGATCCTTCGACTTACTTGTAGCCAAACTGACCTAGACATGAGTCTTAGGTATCAGTGATTTTAGTGAAAGAATAAAAATTATGCTAGCATCTGACAAACTGTTCAAACCAAGGTAACAGCTATAAGAAACGTTTCCCTTTGACCAATGATGACATGGTCACATTGTTGTCCACACATCGTCCTTAACCCACCTCCAAGAAGGAACATTTCTGCTTAGTTGAAGGATAGCACCAAAACAAGGGCACATGGAGTTACTAACTATATTGGAGCTGCTAGAAATGTATTTTGCTGGAAGGAATACAAAGGGTAAATACAGACCTAGATGAGCATCAATTCTCCCCTCTCTTTGCTCACTTTTATCTAATAAGATGGCACCCAAGAGGAACCTACTCTCTAAGAGGGGCAAACCTAAGGTAGACCCAAGGGAAGGGAAGTCAGGGGAAGATGGTTAGGCAGCTGTTAACATTCAAGTGAGAAAAATGAGCATGCTTTCTCTCCCTCCCTTCTGCTGGTGCTGAAGTTAGCATCTGGAGCAAGTGGTACCCTCAAACAAAGGGCTCACAACAGACACATTGGGCCAGGCTTTAGTCTGAACCCGGTGGTTAAGAGTCCTGGAGGTGCATAAACTCTCCAGCCTGGGCTACCTGGGCAGGAGAGCTGATGGGAATTTGGGAGTGAAACTCTAGCTGTTAAGAAACAGTCTGTTTTCTTAGTCTTTTATATCTGGAATCACATGGGGAAAAAGATAATTAGAGAAGAATTCTGAGATTAGGGATCCTGGCAATACCTCTTCTTCCTTTCAACATGACCAACAATATTCACAGATCCTTACTTACTGTAAAATAAACATTTTAAATTTTATAAAAAATATAAATCATAAGGAAAGTCAGCTTAGAGGCACAAGGAAAAAAGCTCAAATCGTTTTCTGTTCTAATGCTTCTTATCCTCCATGATACAAAATGATATAGACACACAGAAACTGAAAGCAGTATTTGATGTTTTAAAGCACTGTATCAATTACAAACATAGCCAGGAGTGGGCTAGGTTCCTGAAAGGGGGAAAGGGCAAATAAAATGGTACATTGAAAGCCTTAGTCTATGAGCTATTTCCTTATCTCTCATTTCTTAGTAACCACTCAATAAAACAACGATGATTTGAACTTCTCTATACTTTTGATAAAATCTCCAATCCTTCAATGCTCAAATTGTATTGTAAGCATGATCTCAGATGGTCAGAGATATATCTTCTAAGGTGAGGAGTTCATAGGGGGCTTCTTCTGCTATTTGAAATATTATATTTTTCTGAAAAATTGGGAGTATTACCCATTTACAAAATTTTCAAAGAGCACTCAGTTTTTAGGCCAATGTAGGGGCATGTGGAGTGGATGAAAGCTTTGGAATTGAAAATATTGCATTTAATTCGCCATCAGTTCAACTTAGTACTGTGAAAACATAAAACAATTCTCCCAACTCTTATTTTGATTAAAGTGCATTCTTTGGTTAAGTAAAAATTGTGCTTAATACTCACTCTTTCCGGAAATCATGGAACCTTACAGAATAATTTAGTAACCTGCTTCAAATCAAGGTTCAGTTAGCTGTTACCAGGTTTAATGAAGTAATTAATCACTGATAAAATGTACTTACTTCACTGCTGACTGGTCCATATGAATGACCTGAAGAATCTGGTTCTTCTAAATACAGAGTGTAAAAGTGTGGTCTAAATCAAACAGTATCAAAATGTAATATTTTATGAACACATTGTAAAAGAGAATGAAAAGAATAATTCAACAATTGATAGTGAACAAAAAATATACAACACTGGGGCAACATTTCTAAACTTGCTGAGAAATAACTTACAGGTCTCGAATTGTTCAAAATGTGACTGTAACAGTTCACTAAAGAGTTCACTTGGATATAACACGTCCTAGCCAATACCAAAGTTTCCTTGCAGTCTACTTTAAAATATCGTGTCATCTCTATAAAACGAAGGAGTATTTACAATACATACCTTTCATCTTCGGGAAGCTTCAGCCACTTAAGAATGGCTAAAATTCTTTCTTCAAATGGTACTGAACTAAAATGAAGGGTAAACAAAATGCAACACACCTGTGACAACTGTTTAGGTTTAAAATATAAATGTTTTTCTTAAGGAAACTGTGTTAAGAAAGACTAAAAGAATCTAATCCATCAATTGTGTTTAAAGCAATGTAAGAGTTTTATTTGAAAACTTAAATTTGTTTTCCCAACAAAGGAAGAAAAGCGAAGTTTTACACATATGAAAGTTGTAACTGGGCTTAAAAAATTGCTTCCTAGACTCTGCTTGAGGCTATTTTCCCGTGCCTGAGAATATCAATTGCTACCACATGGAAAACCCATGTGTCAATACACTCGTCAAAAGGGTACCTCGTGAAGAGCTCACTCATTGAGGACTCAGTAAAATTGGGAAGTAGGCACCTGGTGAGCAGACAATTCTCCAGGTAACATTTCCTCAGAAGAACTAATCACACCTTCCTCTTGGCACAGGACTTTGTCTGCACAACTTCATCAGAGTGCGTGCTCTCCCACCCCCAAGTACGGTTAGTTGTGTTCTCTATTAAACCTCAAGAAGCCAGAGAACATATAACACTCATCTTTAAATCTCCCATGCCTAATACAGCACATGGCAATAAAATCTCAATTACCATCCATGGGATGAAAATAATGGCAAATAATAAGGTAGGAAGAGGCACTGTGCTGTGCTCAAGTGAACCGTAAAGAATTAATAATGGCATAAGATCACCAAAGAAAATCATTATGCATTGCTTGTCTAGAATTCATGATCATTTCTGTTCATCTCTCAGACATACTGTTGGATTGATTTTGAGAGTGAAATTTCCTAAGCATAAAATAAATAAAATTATTTTGGTAGTCTCATTAAAGTTATTCAAAGAGAGTCTTCCAGAACAAAAGTTTTTGTTTTTGTTTTTCTCAATACATCATAGATTTTGAATATCACAGTGAGATTCTTCTAATCAGTTTTGCACATTAGACAGCATATTTATTGAAGTAATTTGGAAAAACAAATCCAGAGGTGCCACTGATACCTTCTTTTAAATAATATCTCCAGACAGCGAAGAGTCACCTGTATCCTAATACTTTCATCTTTCTCCAAGTTCTTTTTCTTCCTAAAGTTAAAATGTGCAGTAACTCCTCTCTGAGACCTCTACTTTCACTATGACTTCATTTTTTATTCCTATGCAAAGATCTAATTGCAAATCCCAACATGTTACGAAAGCTTTCTCAAAAACCTCTAAAATAAAATTTGTCTTGTTTTACTATTTATCATCCATCTAAAACTCTTTGAGATAAGAGTCCTTATTCTGACGGTTCTCATTTTTCAGCCAATATATCACTCAAATGCTAGTGCTTAGGACTTGAGAAAAAGGACAGTTTAACTATTTTATGTCATAGGTCCTAGAAAAAGTACATCTACACATACCCATTATATATTTTATAGATGTCTGGGAAAATTCCATTAATTTCCACATCTGATCCTGGCCAAAAATATGTAGCAGCCTTCAGGCCTTGATATTTAGCTGTGAGCCAGATCTGGGCAAGAAATCGAAGGAAAGTTAGGAAATTATGCAAATATTCATCTCTTAGAAGTATGTGTTCATGCAACACCAATGCATTGTCTGAAGTGCTAGAATGTTTCTGAGGTTAACAACCTACCACAGACTACAAAATAATCATATATGACTCTGAACAAGACCAAAAAGAAAGTCAATAATTAGAAATGAAATCAACCTTAAAAATATGGACATAAGTCAGTTGGTAACTCCTGAAACTTTTAGAACCATACCCATACTTAATACATTCTCCTTAAAAGAAGAAAAATTCAGGCCGGCTGAGTGGCTCAGTTGGTTAAGAGCTCGCTCAAGAGTGTGAGCTCTGAGCAACAGCGATTCGATGCCCGGCCCAAGCTGAGCTGTTGCTGAGCTGCCAACAGGTGGCAGGATGGCTCAGCTAAAAAAAAAAAAAAAGGAAAATTCACAAATATATATGTCTAATTCTTGGCATTTTTACTTCTAAAAATAACATTTATTAAGCATATATTATTGTCAGTTACAGTTATAAATAGTATTCTGATAAACATATCAGATTATTAAATAATCTTCACAATGACCCCATGAGGGTAATAACAGTATTATCCATAGTACAGATATGAGAAAACTAATGCACAGAAAAAATAATTTACCCAAAGTCACAGAACTTCAAATTTTTAAAATTTGAAATTTATAACCTGCAAATTAAACATAGTGCTCTTTTTCCTTTCAAGAGGGTTATTAAGACTACCCAAATAGACCTTATAGAATTATTGTAACAATTTTTAAAAAAAGGAGGAAGCATCTAAATCACAGAGAGAATCGTCTAAGTTAGCATAGGCAAATGAAGTCAAAGTTTACCTCCTTTCGAAACAACTAGCTTGGTGTAAATCAAAATATTACCCCTACTTATACTAGAAGGTAGAATCAAGCAGAAAAGAAAAACTGGTTCAGCATAACGTGAACCATTTCTGAAACAAGCTACCAGTCTCATTATACAATGATGCAAGCAGCACGGATGGTCAGCACTCATCTCCATTCACAAAAGGACGGCCACAGATACAGTCAGCGAATTAGGTTATTAAAAGCTCCAGGCAATGTGGTATTGTACTCTGCTAGAAACAGATGAAAATAATTAAAAAACAATCTTTGAGTAGCTAGACAAACAAACGACTCACTGGTTCTCCTTTGTACCACTCAGGATTAAACTTCTCGTCACTCTTCAGTGCGAAGGAAGCATTCATTTTGGGGTCATACATTTTATTGTCAATTATGCCATGGGATTCTGGATAAAGACCCTAAAACATATAAAATACGGGTTTTATGTAAGTTATGAGTGATTTAAGGTTAAAGTCACACAACAATTTCATCAAAGAGAAACAGGTAACTAAAGCTACAAGCAACTTAACACAGGTTAAGGAGGTGAAAAACAAAACAATGGATATCGTCAAAACACAACCAACCACTCAATATTTTATGTACTATTTGTGCATTACATTATGTAATAGGAGATAATACGTTAGAAATGCTATAGATGAGAGTGTATATAAATAGGCAGCCTCCCAAATTTTGATAAAAGGACTCTGTTGTCCTTTTGCATTGCTGAATAAAACACTTCTGCGGAACAAATTTTTTTTTATTTGGTTCAAGAAGAGCTTGTATCAATACAAGCTAATGTATACATTCTCGCTTCTACCTTAAGGCCTAATGAGTTCCGTTTTTTTCTCTGGATTCAAATTAAATCTGGAAACTTTGACTGAAACAAAAACAGGGCCGTAATCCTATCCAGAGTCAGGCAGAGTGACTCGCTCAAACTCATACATCCAGATGCCTGGAAAGACAAGTTGAGACTATATGAGGGTAGGATAGTTGTGGGGCTCAAATAAAGAAAGCTACAAAACTAGTAAGAGAAAAACAGGATACAAGAATCAGAGATCTTAAAACTAAAAACAAACGAAGAAACCATTTATTGGGGGTTTTTAGTCACCTCTTTTCACCGATGAGAAAATTGAGACTCGAAGATAAAGTGACCTTCCCGCCACAGCTAGTTAGTAGCAGAGCAAAGACCAAAACCTATGTTTCCTTGCTTAACTATTCATTGGAAAAGGAGTTGTTTTTTCCTGAGCTGATAGGTAATTATTCCCTCGAAAAATGCTACTTTTACATCTCACTTCTGTGAACATATAAAAGTTGAAATGCAGAGCTTACTGTGACAATGCTGTAGTGATTGGGGAAAGTTTTTGTTGGATATACTGGTCTCATGTTTTTTGTATATGTTCCACAGCTTTCTACAAAGAAAAAAAGTTAAATGTTATTATTAAATACAACTGACAATCTGTTTACCCCATTTAGCTTTGGTACCACAGCAGTCTAAATCATATAAAAAAATTAACCCAGGAGGAGTGTATAACCATATAAAAATTCACAGTGAATAATAAACAAACTTTGTGAACTCAAAATCAAGGTTAAAATTAGAGTTAATTTTTCTCTTGGTAAAAAACAAAAAACAAAACATTAAAAAAAATAATTAAGCCAATGGAATAATTATCCCATACTTATCAGTAACATTAAGTTCCAGGCGGAACATTTGTAACAATGATGTTTGCTAGATGTTGTTACTATTTAGTGGGTACACACCTAAATTACAACAGGTAGTATAAAAAACATAAAACAACAACATCAAAAAATTGCACTAGTAGCTAAATCTGCAAAATTAAAACAAGGGTGAAGTAGTAGCTGGGGTGACAGTGTCCCAATCCACAATCCAGAACTAGCTAACTCTGGAGAAACTCAACACTACTGAAAGACAAAAAGGCACATTCTGACTTCAAGTCTGAGAAAGAACAGAAGTCAGGTGATTCTTGATTTAGCCTTGGTGTCACACTCCTCTTCTGTTGCGTGTGCTATTGAGGGAGGAACATATAACTGATGATTCTAGCATTTCAATGCTTCATTGACTGAAAATGTTCATTGGATTAGCATGTGTCTGTCTATCTCAATGCCATCCAAATAGTTCAGAATATCATACTACATCCTCTATCTATCAAAGCTAAGGATTAGGCTAATTGTGTATTGATTTCTTTCAAACTTCTCATACAGGTATGTACAGCTCCTTAATTCTGAACTCAGGACGTCATGTTTGGTGCCACTGAGACAAACTTTCCTCCTGGTAAATTTGGGCCAGATGGTAGCAAAGGGCAAGATTCAAGCTTCAGAGTCCATGAGGCTTCCTTGCTTATACTAGCTCTTTGTTAAAGACTTTTTATGTCAAATGATTATTTATAAAACCTATTTTCTTCTAGGTAGAAATTAAAAACTGAAATTTTCAGAAGTCTTCCAAAATTATTTTGGCTTGTCACAAAAGAGTACAATAAATGTACACATGTATTTACTAAGAGTGATTTTAAAGCTTAAACCAATCTCATATACTCAAATCCAGTAAATAATATTTTACAATTCCAGAAGAACATTAAAATGGTTGTATTTACATACTTCTTTCTCAGTCTAGTATTACACTGTAGCTACCTAAATTTGATCACTGGTAATAAGCAATATTCTACTCTTTTACACCCATATGTAATTTTTCCTTTTTTGATAACAATAATGATACAAGTGATACCTATATTAACTGGTGGTTAATGTGATTTAAAACTTTGGCATTAATACTAAGACCAATCTACTAGTGCATCAATAACTTATAGAATAATCATTCAATTAAGGCCTCTGTTAACACAAAGAAACTGGAAGGCTGTTACATGATACTATAGAATAACTAGCAGGCAAATATTCTATGTGTATGTTACTAATATCATATCAGAAATACCTTCAAATTTTTGAAATTCTATTTGAAGATATAGTAGTTACGAAATAAATAAATAATACGTTTTCCAGGCAATAAATCCAAAATTTTAAGAAAAAAGTTTCATATATTTACATAGTTATTTATATTAAGTACACACACACACACACACACACACACACACACACACACACACACACACATATATATATATATGCCAATGCATAAAAATCCTAAGATAATTGCATTATCTTCAGAGTAATTACAACATTAAAAACTAGTTCCTTATCATCAGGTTCAACTACTTTGCAATAGAGAAGTTTGGTAAAATAGGTTCAGCCAGTATTTTTCCAAAAAGAGACTGTCTCCCCAGTCTATCTCACTGAAATCATGACAGTCCAACAGTAAACTCTGAAACTACTCACTTAGTTTGCTAATAACAGGAAGAAGTCCACCCCAAGTATGTAAATATTCTGCCCTGAAACCATCCAAAGAAAACAAGAGGGTAGGAGGTGTTTCAAACCTGGGAAATAAGAAAAAAAATATGTTTAAATAAGCAGAAAGAAGACACACACCAAGTGAAGATGTTCTCCTTCCTTGGGACAGATCCAGGGAAGAGTTTCCACTGAGTATGTAATTCAGTATGTAATCTAAAGTAAACTAAGAAGCTAAGCAAGCACTGTCATACAGTGTATTTTACAGGCATCATTTTGAGCCACCATACAGAGCACATCATTCATGGCGCCTACTCTTCCAAAAGCTAGACCAAATGCTACTAAAATTTAATGCTACTTTCCCAATTTGCAGGAGAATAAATGTTAACAAACAGCATTTTCTAAATTATATGTGTTTCCTTTTTTTTTTTTTTTTACTGAACAACCACTTTCTGATGTTGTCTCTATATAAATCTAACAGGTGGCACCTCATATCACATAAATTATACACAATATTTAGTTTTTACATTTAATATGTTTAAAATATATTAACATGCATGTAATAAAGAAGTTTGAGAGGTATTCACTAGATTTAAATATATAAACAACAAAGAAATGATCCAAAGCTAGGAAGGAACACCAAAAGTATACACACACACACACACACAATGTGTGTGGTGTGAAAATCCAAACAAGGAGGCAAAAAAAGCCCAAGAAAACACATACAAAAGAGAATAATGACAGATATTACATGACTACACCAAAACAGGCATGGTTCAGAAATTTTGCAGCTTCTAATGATATCGAGTAGATGGCAGGAGAATTGTGTATCACTGGATTACCATAAACAAATTTTCCACTGAAAATTTACTCAGTAATTTAAAATTTGAGAGCAAATGCTTACTTACCTCACCTTGCCTTTCCCAACTCTATCTCTTCCCCAGCTTACTCTCATATACAAACGCAAATAGAAAAAGAAGAAAATCTGTATATAATTTATACTAACTAGTGTTTGTACCATAGCTCTGTTGGACGACTCTGCAAAAGCAGCTGCATTTAGCGTCAATGGTCCATATCTACATAAACAATTTCAAACGAATCAACAAAAAACATAAAAAATTTACGGAGCCAACAGGTATATATACTGGTATAATAATTTCCAGTATAATAAAATGTGTTCTAAATTATGATCTTCTTGTAAAAAAGGGAGGATTTATATTTTTTGACCAAAGGAGTCAACATCACAATTGAAAAATAATGATCAATGTTTAGAAGGAAGATATTCAAAATTCACTAAGTCTAAAATTTCCAGCATATCTTGGCCTTAAAAGACAGCTTAGGGTACATGAGAAGTGCCCTTTGAAAAAAGTCTCTTCTGGAATTTTTTGGTTTAGGTTTAGTTTTTGCTGCTGCTGTTAGTATTGCTTTAAAAAACAACAACAACAACAAAAACCACTCTCCCATCCAAAAGAAAAAAACAAACATATCTTATAAAGCAAAAATAAACAAATACATAAATAAAATAAGCTAATATGGCTTTAAATTTTTTAACAGTTTAAAAAAAATCATCATTTTAAAGAAGTAAAAATATATTTCTGAAGGTGACTAATTCAAATTATGAGGTAGATCTCAAGTGGAGCAAAGCTAAATGTATCTAACAGCTTTTACAAAATTTCCACCATTTGAATTCCATAAAAACTTTTTTATAGCCTGGTATATATAAGGTACTGTGCGAAATACTCTAGCAAAAAACAAACATGAACTATAAAAATTATGTAACATCCTCTCACAGACATGTTGCTTATCCCTAAAATTTATAAATGAACCTAAATACAAAAATTTTAAAAAGCTATAAAGTAATTTGCTACAAGTTCAACTCTCAAAATACCAAATGAAAGTAAAGGGCCTTCTTTCTTAAGAAGGAAGACATAAATACTTCCACCTAACACTCATGAATACTAAAAACTATTCATGACCTCTCTTTTTTCCCACTAGTTTCCAGACCGGGGGTCATACCACTCTATACCATTTCTAGACCACCAGAGCCAAATACAAGTCCTGACTAAAAATCTTGTTCAGTAAACTGATAAATAATTATTATTTTTATCTTTACAACTTGGAAAGAGAAAAAAGATGGTATTTCTAAAAAAGAAAAAAAATGTGTATCTGAGAATATCATCTTACCCCGCTGGACACTGTGGCTTTTTAATGCTCTCACACGTTTCTTCTACCCAACTTTTCTCACCTAAAATATTTTCAAGAAATAAAATGAGTTGAACACACTTAATAGTAACAATTGTGATGTTTGTGAGACACATTAGGACAGATTCCCAAAACAAACTGTGTTAACAGATACATAAGTAATGTGGGGCATGATTCTAGGGAGCTACAATGAAAAACAAAGGTAATCTGTTTCTAAATGAAAATCTGTTTCCAAAGAATTAGTTGATGTCAGGAAGAAAAAAAAAATGAATGTATAATCACAAGACTAAAATATAACACTAAATTTGTGAGAACCTGAAGACATATTTACCATTTTCAAATCGTTAATATTTTCAGCTCTCCTTCTATCTGCCACACAAAATCTTCTGGTTTTAACTCCTGGATATCTTAGTTCCTTTCATACAGAGCCAGATTCTGTCAAGGAATTTTAAGGAACTCTGTGGTAACACCTAGACAAGACCTCATAATAACCTCAGCTTACATAATACCCTAAAACCTTGAGCAGTAACTTCATATCTACTCCTTCAATGCATGGCAGACTTTATCGTCATTTTTTTACAAGGGAACCTGGGACACAGGAGTCAGCCAGGATGAGTTTTCCATAAATACAGCGTTAAATGTGTAGCTAATATAAAAATAACATGAGGAGGGGATACCTGAAGAATAACAAGATTGGCCATGTGAACATAATAATTATTAAGCTGGGTGTGGGTACAATGTTCATTACACACTCTCTCTACTCATGTATATGCTTGAAATTTTCTTTAATAAATGTTTTAAAAATATTGTTTCCGCTAAATATTTTTTATGCAAAACCCAGCTAAAACCCAGGAAGCGGTCAGGGTGCCATAGAGGCTGTTGCGTGCATGAAGGCCTGACCTCGACACACAGAGCTGTAGTTGATGCAGCAGTCGCCCTTGTCTCTGCAGTCATCAGTACAGGAGCAGAGGCTTCTAGACAACCTTTTCTCGCCACACCTGAATTTGCTGCAAGTCCATATGTGTTCTAGAAATAAATACCAACAAAATTAATTTTATGGTCCAAATTCAACGCATTCAACGTGAACACATAATTGTGGTCTCCAGAACCAAGATCCATAAAAGACAATGAGCTAGCCCATAACTCTTAGTCACTCACAAAATCTGCCAGCACCATGGTCAATCAGAACGGACACAGAAAACACGCAAACAGCAATTATTATTTCACTAAAATCCCAGAATCTCATCATTTTAAAATGCGGACAAATCATTATTATACAATTCATATGAAGATCTTGGTTTCTTCTGCCAGCCATTTTCAGGGTTCTCAAATTTAATTTAAATTGGGCTCACTCCCATTTAAGTATTATTCCATGTTATTTGTAGAAAAGTCCACATCAAACTGGGAAAAATTTCCATGTTCTGATGGTTTTATTTTAAAGTTTAAGTGGACATCTAAGAACTTTTGCTTTAATAAGCCCATCATGAAAATATTCACATATTTCAAGCAGCCTTTTTGAACTTAGTTTAAATACAAATTAGACTCTATATAGGCTTTCAGCATACATTAAAAACAGGCACAGTTTTGCTATTCATAAGATGTTTAGTGAAGGCAAAACAGGTGAAATTTTTTTCTCCAAAAAAAAAATATAAAGGCCAAATTTTAAAAAATCTCAAATGAGTTAGGTAAGTCACACACCTAAAAGATGCACAACACTGCTCTTATCATTTACTACTAATGCCTGCAACTCCATTTTCTCCCCTGCGCATTTTTACCTGGCTCTATACAGGTCTCCTGGTAATCTAGACAGCAGTTTCCAAGTTCAACGCAAGCGACATCACAGCGGCAGTTCCCAAATGTTCTCTCAAAACAGCGACCTTTGCAACTTTTAACTGAAAACATTGAATAATGAGTTAGATATTTCTAATCATTATATGATTACAAAGCAAACATCAACTAACACACCTAAATTGCACATAGATTCAAATACTACTTTAGAAAAGATAGATGGGATAATAAAGTTACCGCGGAATCTTTTCACAAATACACATAGAAAGTGAGACAAATGTAAGGTAGCCTTACATAGTTTGCAATTTTATCTCTTAACATAGAAAAAAAGAGAATTTTTTTCTTCTATGTATTACAACCCCTACTGGGTCTGATAAAACTTACATACCTATGGGATGGTAAAAAAACAAAACAAAACAAAAAACCTCAGAATAAGGGCTTGTTGTGAATATTTTATGCTCTGAAAAGGTTGGTTTAAATAGCCACGGAGTTCTCCAAAATTACAAAATGTGAGCAAGTGATTATCTATGAATATTTTAGAAAGAGCAAGAATGCCTGACGTACCTCACTCTGGTTTGATATAGAGAAGGAGTAATGTGTTTGTGCAGAACACTTTCCAGGGGACTGTCCCTTCCACCATCACCTTCAGCACTCACGTCACCTTCAGATCCATCCGGGCTCTGAGAAGCCTGCCCACACTCCCCAGTCTAGGTCCATCCTCCTTCTTTAAGCTTTCCTAAAACCTTGTCCCTCTCCTGAGTCACTTAATGCCATTTGTAAGTGATTATTTGGTTAGTGTCCCAAACTTCTTAAGAACCAAGGCGACACCTGGATTTTGTTCAGCATACTGTATCCCTGGTACCCAGCAAGATGCGTGACACATAGTTGGTACTAATATGTTTTTGTTGAAGGGATAAATGGCAGATAGGGAAGGAAAATACTTCTCATTAAAAAAATGATTTTACATTGTAACTCTTTACTAGATATTTGGAACAAGCTACATTTTTATTGGATTACTAAAAAAATCAGATGATGAAGAAAACAATCCACTTGCAAAATAATGGAAGTCCAACCAAAAAAAGGGATAATCCTAGCTCTTGACTTTAAATCGTCTCCTGATCCAGTAAGACATTGCCACAGAATTTAACTCTCAGGACACGGAGATTCAGCAATTTTCAGGATATGAAATGACAATAATAATTTCTAGGGTCAGATGTACTTATTTTGTTGACTGGGGTGAGGGAAAACAATTAGGATAATAGTTATTATTTGAAGCTCATTCATATGCACCTCGTAATTTAAAAAAATATTATGCATACTATTTTGGGTTTATATTAAAATGGCTATTTGTAATCTTTTGGTATCATTTTTATGTCAAACTGAACTCAAGATAAATTACTTTATGCCTAAAAACTGCACCAGTGAACACTAAAGTCTGTAGCTTCTTAATTTTATTAAACTTCAATATATTTACCCTGAATACAGGCCTACCTTGTTTTATTGTGCTTCGCTTTATTGCGCTTTCCTGATGCTGCATTTTTTACAAAATGAAGGTGAGACCCTCAACCATAAAAATGATTATAACTTGCTTTATTGCAGTGGTCTGGAACAAAACCTTCAATATCTCCAAGGTATGCCTATAGATTGTTGACTAAACAGATATAATTACTATATTTCATTCATTTCAACCATATATGATGGCTGTATCACTAATTTTTTTTAATAATATTACAATTACAAAATAGTTGAGCAGGAAAAGAATTTGTTCAATTTTCAAAACTGAATTCCCTAGGAAGACCACCAATAATTTTCCATAGGTTAAAAAAAACAAAACAAAACACAACAAAAAACTTACTTCAGTGGCAAATAATGACTACTACAAGGTACTGTGATTTGGTTTTATTACTTATAGTGATCTTGTCAATGCTGGATAATATCTATACTCGATATAAAGAAAAATATATGTAGAAGTTTAAAAATACCACTATTTCTTTGAAACCACCCACATCTACAATTCTAAAAGCCTTAAGAGCATGTAAGGGTAAGTTTCTGGTTGCCAGGGATGTTAACTGGTCACCTAGTAACCTCTACGCTGCTTCAGCAACTAAGTGCTCGAAAGAAAGGGCGTCCCTAGGAGAGTGCCTGGAGGGAGTTGGGCGTGGGCTCCAGGAGCACGGAACCAGAACCTGTCGGCCACGTCAGCTTGTTTGTTTGTTTGTTCTTAATTTATTTTCTGCTGTTCTCGGTTTTTTTGGGTTTTTTGTTTTTTCTGTTTGTTTGGCTGGTGTTTTGGTCATAGCCGCTCTTCATTGTTTTGAGATGGTTTTACAAGTAAATAAAATATTAAATGGCTACAATAATAAAAGAGCTTCAAGAAGATGGCTAAAACCAGCATCAAATTTGTAATATCTACAGAGTATCCATAGAATTTGGGCATAATGCTTATCTCAGAAGCATTCTAAAGAAGGCTGAATATCAACACACACACACACACACACACACACACTCACACACACACACACTCATACTCACACACACNCACACACACACACACACACACACACACACACTCACACACACACACGGTACGATTTACCTTCTTTGGCACAGCTTGGTTTCAACCCAAATATACAACCGAGGATTATTGTTAACACACAGACTGACAATATCTGTGGGGAGAAAAAAAAGAAAATTATATAGCTTTAAGACAGTTCTTTAAATGTTTGGTTTCTTTACATGTTTCTAAACTTGGTGCTCTGTTTTCTGATCAGGGTGCTGGTCACATGAATATGTTCACTCTGTGAAAATCCAAACTGCACGTTATGCTCTATATACTTTTCTGTATATAAGTTATACTTCAACAAAAAGTCTAAATGTTAGCAAACGAATCTATGCCATCCAAGGTTAATGTTGTCAGAAATTTCCCAGTTGATGTAAATGAATCTAGTCAGAGAATCTGTAATAATTAGGGGAGGGAGAGAGGAAAATCCATTTAGAGACTTGATTTCCTATTTGTTAATCTATAAAAGGCAATACGAGAATATTAGATGCCTTTTTTTAACAGTTTAACTACACAAACCTAAACAATATCCTCATATGCACTGTGGCAGCTTGTGGGAACAAACACTGAACAGGGTTAGGTGCCTATATCTCGGGTCCAAATGTAACCATGAACTGGTTATGTGATTTGGGGCAAGTCACGTTAGCATTCTAGACCGTTTATTCATTAAAGAGTTGGACTGCAAGGGTCTCTAAACATCATTCCAGCTCTAACACTTTGCTACTTTCTCATTCTCTACTCTTAGGGCCTTTGACATTTAAAAATAAGTGGATACAAAATACAACTCCTAAGAATAATGGCAGAATGTTTATTTGTGAGTTAGAAGAAAAAGCAGAATAATCAATCCATTAAACGACCCTCAATATTTTTAGTGGGACAGAGTTTCCTTGAGAGCTCTCTGGTATTCCTTAAATACCAACTATATGTAAGGACTGTTACGCATTCAGGAAAGAATACGAGATACCTCAGGGAGCTTCTATTTGTGTGAAAGGAGGTAAAAATAACAGCATAAAAGACTCACATTGGTAGGCTCTAGGAAGAAGTTGCAGAGTCCTATAGTTGTTTAAAGAAGGAGAAAGTTTGGGGAGGTTGGGGGGAGATCAGAAACAGTGTCATAGAGCACGCCTCTGGGCTGTGCTCTGAAGGGGGACAATGATGGTAAGATGCTGCAGGCAGAGCTGAGGGAAGGGAAGAGAGAACCAATCAGAGCAAACTTCTAGGAGGAAGGCCAGACTAAGAAAAGGCTCAAAGGAAGAAAAGCATATGGAAGGCGGCTGATGAATAATGAGCAGCCTATTTTGGCAGGAACAAAGAAAATGCAAAGCAGAATGGACACAGACACAGGGTGGAGGTATGGAAAGGTGGAGAAGTATTGCTCAAAAGCCAAGATGAAAAGATAATAGAGTCAGGAGGAATGGGTGAATGGGGCAGGGTGGATGGTGGGTAGTGGCTTGTGTGAACACATTCCCTCAAATAAAGCATTGAGCATATGCCAGTCTCTAGGCTAGGTACTGGCTACTCAGTAATAAAACAGGCATGCCCTTTGTCTTCAAGGTGCCTACTCTCAAATGACTGCAATAAGGAAAGAGGAGGTGAATGTTACGTAAACTGAAGCAGCAGGTCTAATTTATTACAAAAAGAAATAGGGGTGAAAATAAAAGGAGAGCAAGAGTATAGTGGGTCTAAAACTCATCAGGGTCTAGGCCAAATTTTTTTTTTTTTTAGGAAATCGAAAGCACATGTCCATTAAAATAGGGAGCCATCAGAAAAAGAGCTTGAACATTTGATGGAGGTATGGACTGAGACAACCATACAGGAGAGTAATCTTAAAATATCTACCAAAAATATCAAAAACTTTTATTGTCAATTATTTATATATATATATATTATATATATATATATATGAAAAAGAAAAATAGGAAAACTAACTCATATTTAGTATACTGTAATTTAAAACATGGAGAATTAAAGTTTTATTTCTTTGCAATAAACTTATCAAGAATAGTTTGAACAGTGCTTTATTGTCTTCTCATCATATAACTTACAATACAGAGTGAGAATCTTTTCTATGCTTTAGTGAGTTGTCATATTGCTTTCTAAGTTTAGATAAGTTTCCAGTGTTTTAACCTTTGCATTTTCAATATCATGAAATAGCTCCAAGAGTTCCTTCAATATGAATTTTTGTGCCTGTGTCACTTCCTTTGGGACATGTTCATTCTTTTCATTACAATCACGCTCTTTATTTATGTCAGAACATTCTCCATTACTAAGTTCCTCTGGCTGCATATCTAGAGTCTATTAAACAGAGGTAGTGTCAACATTCCCACAGTTAGCTATTTTTCCCATAATCTCATTTACATTCAGTTTGAATTTCATTTCCAGCATTATCACTTTTCTTTACTGCACTTTCATCTTTATCAGCCAATTCCCTCTTTCAATTATCCATTTTTATAAATGTCATGTAGGCTTATCACTGGGAGACAAAGAAGCAACACAACTGCCTGCTTTGCTGTCTGTGCTGAACTGATCAAAAGATACATAATGACCAATCACTGACAGGCTTTGAAAGAAGTGACTTGGGTCACTTACCACAATATGCATTTTACAAACGTAGTGCTTCGTGGACTGAAAAGTTAGCAGCAAAGATTGAACTTTATGTAACTACAGTTAATAAATCCTGGCAACTGAAATTTGAACCATATTGTTGGGGGAAAGGTATTATGTAATTAAACCATGGTCACTGAAATTGTACATGAAAGTCATGCAAAGCTAGGACTGCCTGTACTCTCACAAGAAGGCAAAATAGGTATTCAAATTCATTAAAAAAATAATAAAAACCAGAAACCTAAGCTCATTTTGAGAAACTAGTTTAATAAGTCATATTTAATCTATAAAATGACAACTTCTCATGGGGCTAGCCTCAGAGAGAGGTGTGTCAGAGAAGTTTGAGAAGATACAAAAAAAACAAAAAAAAACAAAACTGAGGTGTAGCCATAAGAAGTTGAAAGCAGCTGAAGACAGACCTCCTCGATGTTCTTGGATAAGTAAGAAGCATCTGCTGGAAGTGAGAAAGTCATGGTGGGGCTCTGAAATAACGGAAGGGGCTTAAGACATCCCATCTGAAGGATGGCAGCACAACAGTGGGGACAAGGGAGACTCAGGCAACAAGGAAGGAGTGAAAAGACCCTCAGACTCTGGGAGCCAAGCTTAATCTGAGATCATGGAATGGAATGGACCCAAAAGCCCTGAATTCTAGGCGTGGCAGTGGGGGAATGGGATAAAGAGATAATGTGGAATGGGGAGATAGAAAAGGCAAGGAAAACAGCAGAAAAACGGGACAAGAAAGTCAAGGTATGGATGCAATGGCTTAACAGGGTTAGGACCATGTGGACATAGGTATTTGAAAGGAGAATTGGGAAAAGAAAGGGCGTCAGGTGCGTGAGGGAGTGGAAATGAGAGGGCAAGCAACCAAGGAGGAAGAACGGAAGTTACGAGCTCTGAAAGGAGTTTCAGAGTCTGTTCTCAGAAGTGGGACAGTATGGAATGGAGATGAAAGCAACAGTAGAAATCTGAAATTGGCATGATGGATTTGCTGGAAGCCGGAAGACCCAAAAGTTCTACTTTTACTAGTAATCACAGTTAACCTTTCACCAATAAATGAAAGTCACAATAAGAGAACTTTATTTATATTATGAAATTTATTGACTTTAATACATATTCCCTCACTGCTGTAAGAAGTTCATTATGAAGATAATTACCAATGACTTTACTGTCCTTGCTAAATATAAAACAAAACTTGTGAACAGTTCTGTTACAAAGAAGTCTCATCTTGAGGAAAACTATGTAAAGGTTTAGTGGTAAGCAAACATTGATATCCTAACCACTGGTTTAAAACACCCACAGTGTATGCAGGCCTTTACCTTCTGGTTAAGCTGCAGAGGAGGCTCTCTGATTTTTCAATTACCTCATCTTTGTTAAAAGAAAATTACTCAGATTTACCTTTTATAAGATAATGCACAGCATGTAACTGAAACAGAAGTACAACAGAAGCAATCATTTCTCAACTACAGTCTCATCCATAAAAGATGAAATTTACATTAGCTATCACTCTGCTACCCAGCACCCAATCAGAAAAGTTCAGTATGAAATTTCTCATCAACAATTCTGAGAGCTGTGAAATCTAATTCTATTTGAATTTTCTTCTCAAAACAGTTTAACTCAACAACGCAATAGCACAAGTTTTTATAGTGAAATTATGACTTCAAAACTTTATCTCTATTTCTAATTTATGATAGCTTTCAAAAATATATCTTTGATATCTCTGTCTCTCCAACTGGTGCTCAACCTCATCCAATTCAACTTAAGAAATATTAATGCCTGCCTGTACTGTGCCAGGAAATATTTCATATGATAACTGTCTCGAGTAGAATGTCCTTTACCCTCACAATTATGTCAGCTTTGAAAATTATGGAAATAGTGATATTACTATCTCATTAACAGGTCTCAATTAAGAGTTCAAGAAATTATAGCAACATCTATTAACTTACAACTAGCATAGATTGAGGACTATGATGACAGAAGGAGGAAAAGGTGCTAAAGTAAAAGTAATGTAAGAATCATTTTATAAAGTTTTAAGCAATAACTAGCCATTTATTAAACTACACACACACACACACACACACACACACACACACACACACACACACACACACAACAAAAACCCCAAAATATCTAGGGTCTTGGTGGACGAGGTCATTTATTACCAAAGCAATGCTTGTAAGAATAATTAAAAGATCAATCAGAAGGCTAATGAAACTTAACAGAGGGAAATACTATGGTGGGTTCTTTTGTCTCTATACACATGTGAGGTAGAACTTGTTACTTCCTGCTCAAACCCAGCTGCTAAAGCACTTCTAGGATGTTCTATTGCAAACAAGCTAAGATCACAAGCCATATAGTTCCCTCAGAGAGGCTCCGATTTCTGTGGATAAGAAGAATCTCGGCTCCTGGGGATACCAGTACAGTCCTTTCCACAAACACAAAAGGGAAAATGTTGGCTTTAAAATGAGAGATATTAAGACCAAAGTCCACAAAAACAAGCTCCCAAGA